ACAGAAAAAGCTGCTGAACACATCTCTAAGCATGTTGCTCTTGACCAGATGTTGAACACTTCCACTAGGCAACTGACAATAAAAAGAGGAGAAAAGAAACAGGAATCCGGAAGTTCAAAATGAGCAAAGCATGGTAAACCAATGAGTCATGACTCACAAAGGTGAGAATTCAAGAATGATTTCAATGACTCTTGATGGGTTCTTGAATGAATGGTGTGCCATAGGCATCAAGAACAAAGAGGTATGCGATCAAGTTTGGACATACTGAGTTTAAAAGAACCTAATATTAGCTGAAGATTCCATAAGACATGACCCCTGGAACATGAAACAAAGCCATGGAAAAAAGTAAAACTTGAGAGTTGGTCAGAGAAACTGCTAAATACAGGCACAGAGGGTACAAGAAAAAAAGAGATAGACAACAATGCAGAGGCCAAGGATCAAATAAGCTTTTAAAGAAGTGATTAGAAAAAAACAAAAGCAAAATCAAACACAAACAATCACTACTTACAAGAAACTTTTGAAAACAAAAACAAAAGAGCTCACATAGTCTGCATCCGACATCCTGGTATCAATGGCTCTGGTTAGTGAGCAAGAGACAGATTACAGAGAACTACAGCAGTGTATGAAAAGACAGTAAACAAAGCCATTACTTGAAGATCTCTAAAAACAGGAAGACAAAAGTTCTCTAACAGTCTCAGGGTATAGAGGCTTAGGGGAATTCAAAAAGCAAGTAGAGATTACAGTGTTTTCTCAGGTGAAAGGAAGGACAAGTGGGTGTTAGCCTAAGTTATACAAGCTACCTTGGAACAGACCAGTGGGAGGGGCAGGATGCATGTCAACCAACAAACATTTTCAGAAATCTTTTCTTTTTCGAGACAGGGCTTTTCTGTAGCTTTGGAGGCTGTCCTGGAACTCGCTCAGTACATCAGGCTGGCCTCAAACCCACAGAGATCCATTTGTCTCTGCCTCCCGAGTGCTGGCATTTTTCAGAAATCTTAATGCCCTCTCAATTCTTGTTCATTTCACCATTACAGCTTAAATGTCTTTGAACTTCCTTTAAAAAAAAAAAGGAAGGAAGGAAATATTTCAAATACAGGGAAAGTTGATAAAGAATAATTAAAGAATAATTTAAGAATGTTCTGTAACACTGCCTTAATAAACACACTACAGTAGAGCATTGAGGGAAGACTCCTTGTAATCTTTCTCTATTTTATGTCTATTTTGTCAGTAGACAAATAAAACCTTTAAATCTTATGCCTGAATTCATCCCTGAACCATACAGTATTGCCTTTTTACATGCTTTAAAAAAAATATTTTATACCATGAACAAACAAAGGTACTTTGAAATGCCTAGCAGAAATGTGAACATCAAGTCAAGTGCAAAGAAGCAGTCTGAACTCTGGGTTTACTATTTCTACTGTGTGTATTGTGTGAGTGTGCATACCTATGTGCCATAGGTCAGAAAACAACTTTATGGTGCCAGTTCTTGCCTACCAACTTTACATGGGTTCTCAAGATTAAACTCATTAGACGTTGCATTGTGTTTTACCTGATGAGCCACCTTGCCAGCCCCCATCAATCACACAGATCAGATAATGACAGGCCAGGACTTAAAAAGGTATTGCACAAGATTCTAACAAAAATGGAAGTGCAGAGCTGCTTGAGGAGAGAACCCTTTATTTATATCCCTTACCTGCTAGCTCAAGGGTGACTTCTCATCTCATCTAAATATTCCTTTTACTCTTTGTACAGAATATACTAGGATAAGAAAACCATCCTTTTCCCCCTGGCCATGAAAATTAGATTTGAATTTCTATGTATGCATCATGCCAAATCTGTTCCCTAACCTAAAAAGGCTAAAGACAGACAATTCTAAACCTCTGACAATAGTCATCTACACAATCAGAGTGTCTCTGAGTGACTGACTGACCATGCTACTTACGCTGCCCGATACCCTGTCATCACTAACTAGCTGGGTGTTTCCCAATGTGTAAAACAAGTATGGTACTACCTGATGTGTGAAAGGAAAATAAGCCCTCTCACTAGTGTACAGTCATGACACACACACTGTGAAGAACAGTCCTGCAATAGTCACACCATTTTCATTAGCACTACAGGATATGATTCTTATAAGGAGCCTTTTCTGGCTCACTGACTTCCCATGGTCTGTTTTACAGCTAAAGTTTCAGCTACCACTACAAGCAGAACACACAGAGATATACTAAGGTAAGTACATGAAATGTGCTTGCAAGAGGAGATTCACAAATACCTTTTATTTTATTTTTTTTAAAGATTTATTTATTTATTACATATATACCAGATTGAATTGTAGATAGTTGTGAGCCACCATGTGGTTGCTGGGAATTGAACTCAGGACCTCTGGAAGAGCAGTCAGTGCTCTTAACCTCTGAGCCATCTCTCCAGGTACCAAGCTAGAAAGCTGGTTAAGTGGTTAAGAGCACTTACTGCTCTTTCAGGAGATCCAGACTCAGTGCCTAGAATCTATATGGTGCTCATAGTTGCCTGGATCTCTAGTTTCAGGAGATAAGATACCCTCTTCTAGCCTATGTGGGTTCCTGCACACACATAGTACATATTACTCATGCATGAGCACATATAAACATGTATTTTAAAAAAACTGAAATAAACCTTTAAAGACAAAAGTGCCAAAAGTATTCTTTGTAGTGTTTCAGTTCCATAGTGTGCACTTCCCTAAAGGCTTTGAGATTTAATGCCTCCAAATAAATGTGGTACTCTGCTTGCCAAGCTCTCCTAAAACAGGCAGGGGGATCTTTTTCATCACTTTCTTTGGAGGCTTTTTCCTATGCTCACACATGATAACTTCCCATAAGAATGAGCATCTACAAAACTCTACTCGTTTTGTGTATGTGTACATGACTGGGCGTGTGTTGGTATGTGTGCATGCATGTGGAGGACAGAGGCCAATGCTGGGTATCTCCAGTCTTATTTTTTTCAGACAAGGTCTGTCACAGAACCCAGACAGGGTCCATTTGGCTAGATTGACTTGATAGTAAGTTCCAAGGATCCTCTCTTACTCTGTCTTCCCTGTGCTGGGATTACAATGTGCATCACTCTATTTGACTTTTTTTTTTTAAAGGGATACTGAAAATTTGAACTTGATCCTCATGCTTGCACAATAAGCACTTTACTGAATGAAGCATCTTTGCAGTCCTATGCTTATTTTTGAGACACACAACTTTCACACTGCTGTTGTCTCTATTTAATAATAGCTTTGTTCTTTCCTTTCCCAAATGGAAGAGGCATACTTATTAAACTTTTCTAAATTCACTATGTCACTTCACTGTCTGGTTCATAGTAGGCACTCAGGCATTTGTTGGATAAGGAATACTCTCCTAAGACTTTAGTAACAGATTGCTCATGCTGATGACAAATACATTTTCTTCTAACCTGGCTTCCCCAATGAAATTCAACTTCTTAATTACCTACAACTTAGCCTATATTCAATATTACACTGTTTTTGAAAGTGTAGGGCTGTCTATAAATGTTAGGGTATCCTAGCTAGTCTTATTTCAACTTGAAATAAGCTAGAGTTATCTGAAAGGTGGGAATTTCAACTGAGAAAACGCCTCTGTAAGATCCAGCTGTAAGGCATTTTCTCCCCTCCCCGCACTTTTTATTTTGAGACAAGACCTCTCTGTGTAACAGCCCTGGCTGGCCTACAACTTACTTTGTAGACAGGGCTGGCCTCAAACTCATAGAGATTTGATTGTTTCCTAAATTCTGGGTTTAAAGGTGTGTACCACCACAGTGACTAGGCATTTTCTTAATTAGTGATTGATGTGTGAGGCCCATGCCATTATGGGTGGTGCCATCCCTGAGCTAGTGGTCCTGGGTTCTATAAGAAAGCAGGCTGAGTAGACCATGGAGAGCAAGTGAGTAAGCAGCATTCCTCCATGGCCTTTGCATCAGGTCCTGCATCCAGGTTCCTGCCCTGTTTGAGTTCCTGTTCTGATTTCCCTTAATGATGAATAGTGATATGTATAAACCTTTACTTTTTAGTCACAGTGTTTTGTTGCAGCAACAGAAACCCCAAGATATAGGAATAAAACAATTTTTTTCAGCATTTAAATATTAGGTACTGAGCTGACTTCTTTCATGTCTCATATACAATTTAGATTTCCACTCTTGTAAGGTTGGGGACTAGTATCTATATTATTAAGAAATAAAGTCCCTGGGGCCACACACCTTTATTCCCAGCACTTGGGAAGCAGAGGCAGAGGTAAGTGAATTTCTCAGAGTCCAAGGCCAGTTAGAGTTCCAAGGTGAGACTCTGACTCAAAACAAAATAACCAAAAATCAAAACCCAAAAGAAGATCCCATGAATTAGTTCCTTGACCAATCTGACACAGGTAATAATAAGTGGTTTTGGCACACAGGAAGTCTTAATTGGGATGACAATACATGTCCTTCTAATAATGTGCTGCTCTAGAGACCTGAGTTAGACATGCCTTGCTTTTCCTTTCTTATCATACCCAATATATTGCCAGAGAGCACCAAGGTAGTTGTGAGCATAGCTCTGGAGTCAGACAGAACTTGAGTCCAAAATGTGCTATAATATACCCTAACACACAGAGAATAGTGCTTGGCATACATAAAAGAACACCCAGGTAGCAAGTGAGTAGTTACCAGGGATGGTCAGGGATAAAAAGACAGCTACCTTGTAAAGGATTGTTGAAGAGTAAGTGTACGTAACTGTATAACACGGGGACCAGGGAAAGCTCAATTTTAACTACAAACTTATTAAATATGGGACCTGATAGAAGATGAATGCAATCACAACATTCACTTTCTAAGTATGTAACTGACAGTAAACGGTTCTCCACTCAAGCTCCCTATTTGTAATTCTTAAAGCCCAGCTCTTGAACTTTCGTCACACAAGACATATCACCAAAAAGACCCTACAGGTTATAAACGTTACTACGCTGCTAATGAATCCTGTAAGAAATGTCTTTTCTCACCTGACTGGTTTTTGCTGTTCTGCACCTCTCCGTTATTTTGCGGCTGTTGGTTTGTTACAGCACTGCTTTCTGATTGGCTGTTTAACACCTTAACAGCAGATCCCAGGTTTGCTGCTATGACAGGAAAATGCTGACCCCTCTTTAAAAGCTGCTTGTGTTCCTGGTGGCGAAATCGTGGAGGTACTTCACGAGGATACCGAGGCAAGGCCTGTGGCTGCTGCTGCTGCTCCTGCTGCTGCTGCTGCTGCTGTTGCTGCGGCGGCGGCTGCTGCTGATTGCTGGCTGTAGCTCGCTTGGCATTATTATTAGTGCTGGTTGCTGTGGAAGTGCCGTTATCAGAGTTGGCAGGCTGAGGCTGGCTTACACTGGGCTTTATCTGTTCTGGCACTGATTCCAACAAAAGAACAGAGGTGGAAAGGATTAGCCAGTGAAGTACATCTTAACTTCAAACGCTAAGGCACTACAAAAACAACCTGGACACAAGCTTCAAGCATCACAACATCCTCATTCAGAGGCTCAAGACTCTAAGAGATGCCACTGCCTGGGGTCAGACTTCACTTCTGCAGACAAGCTACTCAAGTGTCCACAAGGATGGACCTTCTTGACCAGAATGACACTCATGCTCAATGACTCTTTATCATGTTACACTCTGGCCAGAGACTAAACATTTGTTACTTAACTATGGACCAAAAGAACAAGTGGGGCAAATTCACTGATGTCCTACAACAATGACTCTCAACTCATGGGCCATATTAGATATTTACATTATGACTCATAACAGTGGCAAAGTTAGTTATTAAGTAACAATAAAAATAATTTTATGGTTGGGGGGTCACCACAACATGAGGAACTATATTAGAGGGAACTATATTAGAGCTACTAAATGAATCTTCAATTTTCTAACTGTTCTTGTTCTACTGTTTTTATAGTATTTTAAAAAATATGTATTTTTATATGTATAGGTGGTTCTGCCTGCGTGTGTATCCGTGCAAGACATGTGTACAGTGCCAGTGGAGGCCATAGGTATCAGATCCCCTAGGACTGGAGTTGCAGACAGTTGTGAGCCACCACCTAGGTGCTGAGAATCTAGCCCAAGTCTTCCAGATGAGCAGTTAGTGTTTTTAACCACTGTCTCCAGCACTTCTGTATTTGGTTTCTACTTTATCATCTGAAACATGAATTTACTGTGTAACCTGGGAGCTCCGAAAATTCATTATATTACTTAGGCTGGCCTGAAACTTGCAATTCTCCCACCTCATTCTCCTAAGTGCTGGGGTTACAAGTGGATACAAGCACATCAGGTTTGGTCCCTATTTTATTTAGAAGACACAGGTGGAAAAGCCTTCATTTCCACACAAAGAGACAAAGTGGTCGATTTTCCACTGGTGAATATAAATCCAAACAAAGGACCAGCTCACCTCTGAAACCACAATGGGCACGGTGTCTGGGCTTAGGATTCAATTCCAGTCCCTATGAACCTGTTGTCTTCCCTCTAAGACATCCCAGTATCAAAGGGTTTAGTTATTACAAAGCACAGGACACATGCTGTTTGAGTACTGGCTGTTCTTTTTTTTTTTTTTTTTTTTTTGGTGTTTCAAGAGAGGGTTTCTCTGTATTATTTTGGAGGCTGTCCAGGAACTTGCTCTGCAGACCAGGCTGGCTTCGGACTCAGAGATCTGCCTGCCTCTGCCTCTGGCTCCCGAGTGCTGGGATTAAAGGCGTGCATCATCAACACCTGGCTGTACTGGCTGTTCTTTAATGGCTGGTGTGTTGGTTTGAAAGACAGTGGCCCCCCAAAGGAAGTGGCACTATTAAGAGGTGTGGCCTTATTGGAGTATATATGGAAGTGTGTTACAGGAAATGTGTCACTGTGGAGAACAGCTTTGATGTTTCATATATGTTAAAGCCATACCTAGTGAGGCAGACTACTTCCTGTTGCCTGATGGTCAAGATGTAGAACTCTCAACTACCTCTTTAGCACATGTCTGCCTACATGAAGTCATGTCCCATCATGATGACAATGGACTAAACCTCTGAAACTGTAAGCGGGTCACCAAAATGAAACATTTTCCTTTATAAGAGCTGCTGTGGTCATGGTCTCTTCACAGCAAAGGAAACCCTAACTGTGACAGCTGGCACACCATTCTATATACCTGCAATAGTTCAATCCCACTACAGAACAAACTAAAGCTCTGACACTGGAGGACACTTGAAGGAATTCTGGCAAAGGCTTAAGTGCTCTAGTGCAGCAGTAAAACACCGTTGTTAGTTTCTCTTTTATAAAGCAGGACAGCCTTAGTCCATCACCCAGAAAGCTGTAACCAGTCAATAAATAGATGCTATTGTTTTGGGGCTTCTACTGTAATGATACTGTGACTGAGGCTTTAGTCAGTGTGCTTTAAGAGTATGCAGCCCAGCTTCCTCCTGCACCATCAGTTCCAGGGCTGCTTGTCACTCAACAATCCAAACTAATTTTCCTTTTGTAAAGATTTCCTGAGTTTAACTGATTACCATTCACACGAATGTTTTCCAATATATAATCATGGCCTCCCTTCTTTCCCAAAGTTACTTTATTTTTTACAGTACTCAAGCAAAAACTGCAGCCCAAAAAATTAGTGAAAAACTGACAAATATCCTTCCTATCTATTGTTTGAAACTTTCATTTATTATTATTATTATTAATTTATTTATTTATTTAGTGTGTGTCAGTTTGGCACAAGCTAGAGTCATCAAAGAAGGAGCCTCCTTCTCCATAAGATTAGGTTGTAGGCAAGCCTTTGGGGCATTTTCTTAATTTAGCCCATTGTGGGTGGGGCTATCCTTGGGCTGGTGGTCCTGGCTTTTGTAAGAAAGCAGGCTGAACAAGCCATGAGGAGCAAGCCAATAAGCAGCCCACCTCCACGGCACCTCCGCATCAGCTCCTATCTCCAGGTTCCTACCCTCACTCCTTTCAAGGGATTGAAGCTATGAACGAAATAAATACTTTCCTCCTCAAACTGCTTTTGGTCACAGCAATAGTAACCTTGACTAAGGGTGTGTGTGTGTGTGTGTGTGTGTGTGTGTGTGTGTGTGTGTGTGTGTGTGTGTGTACACTCATATGCACAAGCACACCTGTTGGGTCAGAGGATAACTTTCAGTGTCAGGTCCCACAATCTTGGGACCAAACTTGGACCATCAGGTTTGGCCACAAGCCATCTCACTGGTCCCATCATTTTCATTCTTTAAAAAGAATACTTTCATTTTGTGTTTAAGTGTTTGCCTGCATGCATGTATGAGCATCACGTGCATGCTTGTAACTGTTGAGTCATCTCTCCAGGCCCATCCTTTTCATTTTTGATGCTTACTGAAAAACCTTTTAATCATTTGGATCAAGTAATTAATATATCAAATTTTCTCTTCTAACACAATGTTCCCAATAGGTAATAATGATGTATGGTCCTTTGTGCATCTCACAATAATAAAGATTAATGATTTGGAAAAGTATTTTATGGCTGTCAAGGTGGCCCAGCAAGTAAAAAAGTTTGACACTAAGTCTGACAACCTATGGTCTAAAAGTAGAACTCACATGATAGAAAGAAAACCAACTCCCACAAGCTGTCATCTGACCTCATAAAAAAATTTATGAGTCCAAAGTATTAGAATATTCTAAAGTGCCTGTAAAACGAAGGGAAGATAAAGCAAATGTAACTAGAAATTATAGACATTAAAAAAAACCCTGTAATTTGGTTTTTATGTGCTTAGTACTGGATTCAGCATGCTATCTGACAACCGACTATGAATTTAAGTTGGTGAAGTAAGCTGCTGCTCCTAGAATACAAGGTTTATTAATACTTACTATATTATTGAAAAGCAAAACCCACTGAGGGCCAGTGCGGTAGCTCAGCTGGTAAAGATGTTTGAGGGCAACCTGAGTTCCATCTTCAGAATCCTCTGACCTCCACATGTGTTCTGTGGCATGTATACCCCACAGAAACCTCCAACACAGGTGCACACCCACAATAATACATAAATACACTGTGACAATAATCTAAACAAGGTGTGGTTTATGTAAAATGCAACAAGGAATCAGAGGGTAACTTAACATGCAAATATTCCGAGTAACCACCAGACACGTGTGAGAACTCCAGTAAAAAGTAACCAGGCATTCACAGCAGTATCTATACTATACACACTATCTCACTTCGAATCAATAAGAAAGATTGACTAAAAATAAGGCCTGAGAGGGCATATTCTACCTTCTTTAGTTTAAGACATCACTAAAAACCAGTAAAGACACCAGGCTGGAGAGAAGGCTCAGTGGTTATGAGCACTGGCTGCTCTTCCAAAGGATCCGGTTCAATTCCCAGCATCCACATGACAGCTCACAACTGTCTGTACCACCCAGAAAATAGGGTGCCCTCTTCTGGCCCCTGTAGGCATCAGACATACCTATGGTGTACAGATATGCCATATACATTAAACTTAAAAAACTGAAAATCTCAAAAGAAGCTACTAAATAAAAGTGAAGGGGTACAGATTTCATGGGTTAGCAGGTAAACAACACTGGATAATTCTGAATGTTGTACACATGTACTTAAATACTTATGTCAGTAAGCACCCAAACAGTTAGACAGAAGGGAAAAAAGAAAACTGAAATTTGATCTATTCAAAAGACACAAAGATAGAATAAAATTTTCAAAATTGTGATTAACATAAAATGTGTACGATATGAAGAGCAAGCCCCCCAAACAATAATCACCATAAAAATAAAGGAGTTAAATTCACACCAATTTTAAAGATACTCTTAGATTTGTTGAAGTAAGACAAAGTATACTAAGCTACTCCTAAAACAAACCAATGGAGAAAGATTTCAAGAAAAAAGGTATAAAGATACATATACTGCCAAGAAATTCTAAGAAAATATAAATAAAGCAGTATTAGTATCATGTGAAAAATTACAAAAACATAACAGAAGAAAGATATTTCATATTAATAAAAGAAAAATTATGCAAAGTTAAAGATTTTCAAAAATCAAACTTCATAGTATCAAAACATACACAAAATGAAAAATATTTTTAAAAAGTTGACAGTGGTAATAGCTTTAAAATAGCACCCATTAAATAGTCATTGAAACTTAATTCATGCATATCACACAGCACTAAAAAGTACTGACAAATTACAAACAGTATAAATAACAAGCAAATTTTCTGTGTCATAAAACAATGTCACTATAAATGACAAAACTAGTGAATAAAACTGACTTAAATACCAAAATTTCAAGATTAGGAGAATAATAAAGCACTAAATAGAACATATGGAGGTTCAGCTAAGCCAGTGCTCAACAATAAATTCATTGCCTAATTATCTCCAACAATCAAGACATAAAATATACTATGAGGAAGGGCAAATAAACTAAAGGTGACAAAAAGAATAAATCAATAAAAATACCAACAAAAACCAATTTAAAAAATTTAAAGTTGCATTTATTTATATATGTGAGATTATGTACATAACCAGTAGGACTGAGTCATTTATCTATACTACTGTTTTTGTTTGTACGCCTTATACTACTTTAAGAAATGCGCTCCACTCTGTGTTTTTATGGTTCTAAAGCACAGTAAAAAATAGAATATCAATATAATGTTACCATAAGTCAAGACATTAGTGGTCTCAGCTGGAAGTGACAGCATACACCTGCAGTCGAAGCACTTTTTGGAAAGGAGAAGACAGTACCTATGTTTTGGGTTTTGTGAACCATACAATCTGACACCACTAACCATACAATCTGACAGACACCACTATTCAACTCTGCCACTGCAACACAAAAGCACCCATATATAACAGATGAATCAACAACCTCTAATAAAATTTCCCATACAGAAGCAGGTAGTTAAGTGTATTTGGGTAATGAGCTGTACTTTTCCAGTCCCTGCCCTACAAAAATATAGTTTGAAGATCCTACTACCATAGAACATCAAAAAGAGCTTCCAACCAGGCCCATGTCAGGCCAAGATGACTTTAAAGATAAACAAACAGATGAAGGCCCCAAACATACTCATTCTAGTGTATGTGGCACAAGAATGTGGGGTGGGGGTAAGAGCTGGAAAGGGGTGACTCAGCTATTAAGAGCACTGGCTAGCAGTTCTCAAAATGAATTATCATGGTCTTTCATGCAATCTCTTCTGACACCTTCCTTGAAGACCTCTGCCCATCGTGTCTAGAAAACAATTCATCAATCCCCTCCAAAGCAGCCTTGTTACGATTTCTAGGACTAACAGCTTTGCTCTCCCCCATTCAGACAAATTCCGACGCTGCAGTACATGTAGTCTGCAAGTGCTGGTTACTGACTCCTCCTTCAATGTACACCGGGTCCCTAGTATCAAGTTTATCAACTGCTCAGATTCAGAACTTCCAGCATAATGAGGTGCATAATCCACAGAGCACTATGAAATAGCTCTGAACTGAAACCCCATGATGATCAAGAGGAAAAAGATGATGAAGCTCACTTGCTTGCTAAACAAATCAGTCATAAGAAAATCTACAGCCTGTATGTAGAAACAAGTTCATTCACTCAATGGAATTAACATGAAAAATACAGAAAGGTCCTCTAATTAGCTTTAAAAAAAAACAACCAATTATATTAAGAACAAGTATTTCAGAGGTATTTCATCCACAAATAAAAATAATGCATTTTTTGGTCACACAGTGACCCAACATATCTACCCAACACATGATTTAAAGGTGGCAAGCAAAATCTCAACTGGCTAAGAAGTCAAAAACTAAAGTACAAAGACTGCTTAAAGAATTCAAAACAGTATTTTCCTAAGTTGTGTCCAGAATCACTTTTCCTCTTAGTGAATTAACTGACCCAGTAATACAAGTTATTAGCTGCAGTTAAGCCTTAGCACTTTAAGACCATTCTAGCCTTGTATAAAAATGTATGCTGTGGCATACACCTTTAAATCCCATCACTCAGGAGGTAGGTGTATCTCTGTGTGTTCAAGGTCAGTCTTGTTTACACAGTAAGTTGCATGGCAGCCATGGGTGCATAGTGAGTCTCCATCTCCAAAAAGATGGAAGGAAGAGAGGGAGAGAGGGCACTCTGTGAGTCTGAAACTGATCTAAAAAAATAAAACTATTGATTGAAAACAAGTACTGTCATGTTCAAGTGACATCTGAGAGTATAGACAATATGCAGCTCTATAGAAGAAATATTTAGTTTTTAAATCTTGAACATTTTGTTTTCTAAATCGTAAACATTTTTAATCAACAAATTTCAGAAAAAAATAAACTCCACTTTTGCACCTACATATTTTAATGCAAGTCATAGTAGGAGTCAGCCTACTATGTATCTCAAATCCCTTATATTCTTTTTAATTCTTCAATGACTTGGCTTTGGGAAATATTTTTCCTATTGGCTATGTTGTAGATCTTCTAAAACACTGGCACCAACGGCAGTGTTTAAAACAGCGTTCTGTCATTTTAGCAGAGTGACATGTAAAGCAGCCCTCTAGCAAAGACCGGCATCTTGATATTTAGAGGACCCAAACAAGTAAAAATCTACAAGCAAAAAATATTAAAATATGTAGCAAACATCTACAAAATATTGAGGAAATTTCAGATTTTTTGGCAATCTTTACATTAAATAGGATTACTCTTACTAATCTCAATGTGGGAAAAATAAAACCTTGAGATGTAGCTCTTTGACGACACCAGCATGAAAGTTCCTTAGAAAATGTTATTCTTCAGGGTAATGGTGATATCACCACCACAATTCAAGAAGCAAGGGGGTGGAGATAACCATCACACAAGAACAACTGAAAAATTCCCTAAATATTTATCTTTTATTTGAATTAAGAAAAAAAGGTCAGGGCTGTAGAGATAGCCAGTGGTTAAGAACACTTGCTGGTCTTATAGAGGTCCTGAGTTCAATTCCCAGCAACCACATGATGGCTCACAACATCTGTAATGAGATCTGGTGCCCTCTTCTGGCTCGCAGGGATACATGGAGATAGAACACTGTATACATAATACATACATAAATAAATAAATCTTTAAAAAGCAAAAACAAAACAAAGGTCTAGTCTCTCAAATGAAATAAAGCAGTACCAAGAAAGATATCTGCTTGTTTAGGAACTGATTTTCAGCAATCATAAAATAAAAGCCAGGTATGATGGCCCACACTTGTAATCCCAGCACTTGGGAGGTGGCAGCAGAACGAACAGGGAGGTGGGGGCTGTTTTTGAGACAGTCTTATGTATAACCCTAGCTCATCTAAAACTAGCCATGTAGAACAGGCCAGCTTACATGTCATTTCTGAACCTGCCTCTGCCTCTCAAGTGTAGGGATTAAAGGCCTGCAATAGCAGTCCAGCCCAAGACCAGGCAGGAGCTTTAAGGCCAACATCAATGTAGTTTGAGGTCCACAAGGCCAGCTCTGGCTGTGAGAGAACCTGTGAACCTGTTTCCAAGATAAAAAAATTTTAAAATTGTAAAATAACTAAATTAAACTCCAAATGCTTAAAGCAGGTCCAGCTCCCAGTGCCAACAGACCCAAGCTGCTCTGCTCTCAACAAGGGAAGCTTCTTCCTGCAGTGTCAGCAGTCAACACAGATGCATGACCGCTCACAGCGCTGACAAGAGACTGAGTGTTCAGCTCTATGTGAAACATCTGTATCAACACCACCATCATTAAGGCTCAGCAAACATTATGGAAGAGGAGATGGAGAGAATTCAGGAGCTAGGGGATGGGGAGGGGTGCTGTGAAATGCTGTCCTCTGGACAAGGCACGGCTGCTACAATCAAGAACTCACAGCAAGTGTAGCTACTTGAACAGGACCTTCATAAAAATCAAGCCACTCCAGCATACAAGGACTAGATGATGGAGCTCCAGGCCCCACCAATAACAGGAGCTACTGGCACTGGATAGTTACTGGGGTAGAAAGAATTATTCTTTTTGGAGGACATGACCAGCACTAACTGGACAGTGAGTTATCAAAAAAAAAAAAAAACAAAAACACATGAAGTTAAAATGTATTTTGGAGATGGACATGGAAGGAGTTAGTGGAAAATGGGGGTTAGCTGACATGATCATTTTATTGTATGCATGTATAAAATTACTGGAAATTTAAAAAACCTTAAAATACAATTGTTCAAATGATATTTTTTCACACACATTTGTAAACATTCTTTAAAAGTTTCATACAGAATAGTTTATACAGAATAGGGGCTCAGTTGGCAGAGTGATTGTCAAACAAACACAAAGCCCTGGGTTTGATTCCTAACACAGTATAAACTGGACTGGATGTAGGTGGCTCAGGTCTGTAATCCCAACCCTGGAAGCAAGAGAATCAAAAGTTCAAGGTCATTCTCAGTCACATAGTTTAAGGCCATCTTGAGCTAGGTCAAAAACTGTCTCAGGGAAAAAAGGAGTCACAAGATAAAATCACTAAAGATAGAAAAAAGTTAACATGCAACAAAACAGCACATCTGAAATTTAGCTGTCAAGACACTACCACATGGGGTCTTCCCTAGTGCTAATTCCAATACAAAACAATTATCACCTTACAATCCTAAATATTCAAAGCCAATAATTCTAGATGTTCTCCTATTCTATATTCTTCACAAAGAGAAGCCGCCCTTCCCTCAT